ACATTTTTTTGTTTGTTTGTTTTAAGTTTGTTTATTTTGAGGGAAAGAGCCAGTGGGGGAGGGGCAGGGAGAGAGGGAGAGAATTCCAAGCAGGCTTGAACTCACAACCTATGAGATCATGACCTGAGCCGGAGTTGGAAGCTTAACCAACTGAGCCACACAGGCGCCCCAGCATTGACATTTTTTAGTAACTCCTATTTGTTCAGTGCTTGATACTTGGTGGGTTGTGTGCTCTGTTATCTACTTGATCCTTAGAGCAACGTGATGGTAACATAGCTACTACTATTAACCCCTATTTTGCATATGAGAAAACTGAGCGTTTATTATTTGTTCAAGGTAACACTGAAAGTAGCAGATTTTGGCAAACCTGTCTTCTGAGTCCTTTAAGTATTTATGTATCTTGTCATTTATTGGTGTAAGGAATTTCCTATTCAGTTTTGTAAAGAAGAGAGTATTTCTTGAGTTTTTCTGTAGCTAGGATCCAAGCTATTTCATCAGCCATCTGGGTGACTTTTGGGTTCTGGAGAAAGTGTTAGACCACATCAGCCCACATATAGTCCTGACTTGACAAATCAGTTGACTCAGTTTCATTGTAGACTATATGGAGTTACAATATGTAAATGTTCCTGTTGGACATTTTGTGTGTAGAGAGGTAGTGGGCATTATGTGATTTCTAACTTGCATTTTGTTTACTAAAACTCCAGAATCTTAGAAGTCATGATTCTTAGACTATTTAGTGTAGTTGGGAGCAGCGTTTATGGATAGCAGTGCGCTGAATGGTAGCAGTGTATTGGGTGAAGAGCCTTTGGGCTCAAGAAGTTTATAGTTTGGATGGGATAAATGTGGAAAATATTACAGGCAAAATGACTTTTAAAATAGGGATTGCCTCCTTTTTTTTTGTATTTCATAGGAACATTTGTTGCAAATTGCCAAATATTTTGCCAACATATCAAAAAATGTTGAATTTCTGAGGGAAGTTTTAGGTCTGTAGGTTCATTCTACTGGTATTGTGAAAAGATCTGGGCTCTGAAAACAGATGCAGCAATCAGCCACCAGTAATGAAATAAAAAAGACCTGCCACCTTATGACATCTGTTTATGACATTTGTAACTTTGAGGTACTTACAACACTTAATCAGAGTAAAAGTTATTTAGTTCAATTTGGAGGGATAAGGTAACTTGATATTTTATCATGTCTCTTATTATTTGAATTTAATGTCGGGATGATGGATTACAATGAAGAATCCATCCCATTAGGAAGGGTGACATCCTAGAATTTCACTTCCCAGGTGAGCAAGCTTTTCATGTTCCTATTTGTTAACTAGGCCTTTTGATATTTTTGTAGACAATCTGCTTCATCTTGATTCTGCAGCATTCCAAACTGTGGTATCCTTGGGGTTCTCTTAACATTGCTATGGTGCAGAAGATTTAAAATCAGGTATGGCTGTGGGGCCAGAAGTCCCTCAGTGAAATTCTCAACTTAAATCTGCCTTATACTCTCTGATTTATCATTTGGGTTTCTTTTTTTGTGGTGGTCTTTTAGCTGATGTTCACAAGGAATAGAGTCACGTGATGTATGAAGGGAAACATATACACTTCTCTGAGGTTGACAATAAGCCCTTGTGCTCATATAGCCCCAAACTGTGCAAGCAGCGGCGACTCAACGGCTACGCTTTCTGTATCAGACACGTTCTGGAGGACAAGACTGCCCCCTTCAAGCAATGTGAATATGTGGCCAAATATAACAGCCAACGCTGCACCAACCCAATCCCCAAATCAGAGGATCGTAGGTAAGAGCTAATAGTGGGAATCCATCTTTGCTTTAATTCGTAGGCTTGGAATTTTTCTTGTCTATTTTTTTCTTAATGTGGTGAATTTAAACATTGAGTTCCAGGGGTAATCTAAGTAAACCTTGGAATGCTTCTGAAGATGAGAGATGGCGGTTTTTAAAAAATGGGGTAGTAAACTTGGGGAATTATTTGAAAAGTATGTTTGAGTGTTTTTATTGATGCAATAGACTTTAAAAGAATTTTTCCCTCAGTTGTTGCTTGTGTTTGGTTTGCAGTCCTACAAAGTAAGTCCTGATTTTGATAGAAATCTGGTTAAACAACAGAAATTATAGGAACTACTTAGGTGTTGTAATTAACAATAATAATTTTGGAATTTTAAAATCTGTGCTTGAAAGGTAGCAAAGGGTATGTACTTCTTGAAAATTATTCAAAAGAATGATTACTTGAATTATATTTATTTTCTATCAGACTTCTAAGCAGTGTTTGGCATTGTTTTATATTGTTGCCTCTTTTGGTTAAAAGAGTTCCATATAAAGTATGTTTACTATAATTGAAAAATGATATTTTCATTAGTATGAGTAGGCTTTATCACTAGGATTGTGAATTTTTACTTGGCTGAATTAAACATGGAGGTGTTTTTAGAGGAGTCTTATGATGGTTATTCATCATTCATATTCTTAGGAAAATTCACACTATTTCCCATATAATCTCTTTTTTTTCCTCTTATAGCCTCTTTTTCATGTTTCTTTTTCTTCACTTCTCCAGAAACCATGTGGATCATTGCAGGATGTCACAGGGAGATAACACGATTATTTTCCCAAAAGTTTCAAATACTTGTTATCTTTAGGTAGAAAATGTGAACTTTTTACTTCTATCTTTAAAATATGTGTGTGTGTGTGTGTGTGTGTGTGTGTGTGTGTGTGTGTGTATGTATACACACATGTATATATATATATATATATACACACACATCTATATACACACATGTATATACATATATACACACACACACACATATATATATATATCCTTGTTCCTATACATAAGCAATTGTCACCTGCATACATTGGTTGAAAAGAAACCATGTATTTTATATGTCATGGTGAACAATTTTTACACTTTCAGGATGAAATAGATAATTTGTGTTGATAGACCTCTCACCAAAATGAGTATAGCACCATGTGGTGATTTGGGAATACTCTCTGAGAATTTCTAATGAGCACTTAAAGCTTCACATGACAATACCTGAAAATTTGAAGCAGCTGCTCAGGGAGACAAGGAATAAAATTTTAATCTCAGATGAGAAAGGGACCACTGTTCCTGGCTAACCATATGGGTCCAGTTGGTTTTAGCAGACTTAACATGCCCACTTCTTCTTACCCGCCCTTTTTTAACTTGAAGAATTGATGAACTTGGATTAATTTACTTCAAGCTCCACTATAAACACATCTATAATTTTTGTCTTTTTTTTTTTTTAGTTTATTTATTTAAGTAATCTCTATATCTAATGTGGGGCTTGAACTCACAACCCTCAGATCAAGAGTCACATGCTCTTCTGACTGAGCCAGATAGGCACCCCTGGGATTTTGTCAGCTTATCACAGTTGCAGTTGTCCACTGTGGCTTTTTTCCTCCCCTTCATTTCAGTAGAAGCAAGTAGGTAAAGAAATTTCTACTGGCTAGCAGTAAGAAGTAAAGCAAGAGTAGCTCTGAATTTCTCCAAGATATTAATTCTCTCAATCCTAGGTATTCACCTTGATATTTGAAGTGATTTCCTCTTTTTAGAACAAGAAGGGGAAGGACTCTGTGTGTTGCTATGTCAAAAGAAGCAATACTTAAGTACTTAGTAAATTGCATATATTTTTTCAAAATTGGTTCAGACCAATGCAAATGGGATCAATATTTTTATTATTTGTAGCATTTGGAATAGATTAGAGTAGACATTAGCTAGCAGGAGGTAATATTTTTCTTATTACCTCAAATCCAGGTTGAGGAGCGCCTGGGTGGCTCAGTCGGTTAAGTGTCAGACTTTGGCTGAGGTCATGATCTCATTCGGGAGTTTGAACCCCGCCTTGGGCTCTCTCCTGTCAGCCCAGAGCCCACTTCTGATCCTCTGTCTCCCTCTCTGCCTCTCTCCAGCTCATGCGCACTCACTCTTTCAAAATAAATAAATAAACTTAAAAAAAAAATCCAGGTGGAATTCATATAAGGTCTAAACATGTATATAAATATTGATAGTTACAACTACACTCTATGATATGATATAGTGTAGAAAAGATTGAGATTCTTTTGAAAATAAGCTTTCATTAGTTTTTTATTTTTATTTTTATTTATTTATTTTTTAACGTTTTATTTATTTTTGAGACAGGGAGAGACAGAGCATGAACAGGGGAGGGTCAGAGAGAGGGAGACACAGAATCCAAAACAGGCCCCAGGCTCCGAGCTGTCAGCACAGAGCCCGACGCGGGGCTCGAACTCACGGACCGCGAGATCATGACCCGAGCCGAAGTCGGCCGCTCAACCGACTGAGCCACCCAGGCGCCCCAGTTTTTTATTTTTTTAAGTTCAAGTTAGTTAACATACAGTGTGGTATTGGTTTCAGGAGTAGAACCCAGTGATTCATCACTTCCATAGGGCACCCAGTGCTCATCCCAACAAAGCTTTCATTATTGTTAATGCAGTTCTTCTTTGGACACTTAGGAATTTGAGGTGGTTTTATGTATTATTTTAGAAAACAAATTCCTGAGGCCTCCCCCCACCTTGAGGACTCTTAGTTGATAAAATGATCTGACTGGTAGTCAGCTAAAGGAAGGTTCTCAATATCTGGTGTCCAACTTATCTGGTATGTATTATAAATGCTAACTTATGGGATTCTACCTTTTTGAAGTAGAATAATGTTATGTTCAGTAGAAGTACTAGTATAATTAAAAAGTAAAGTTAATTTCCTAATATACTTAAAGTTGGGAAGCTAAGGCTTATCACTGTTACCTTGGTGTCTCAGAGGTAAGTGGTTATATTAAGTTGGTTATTTTATATAATATTTTAAATTTGTTTGCTATAATTTTATACATTTTAGTAGTATCTATTTGCCAAGAAATTTTTTGTTTCTTGTATGTTTACTCTTTTCTTTCTTTTTTTCTTTTTTTATTTTTTTTAACGTTTATTCATTTTTTGAGAGACAGCACAAGCAGGGGAGGGGCAGAGAGAGGGGGAGACAGAATCCGAAGCAGGCTCCAGGCTCTGCGCTGTCAGCACAGAGCCCTACGCGGGGCTTGAACTCATGAAACTTGAGATCATGACCTGAGCCGAAGTCAGACGCTTAACCGACTTGAGCCACCCAGGCGCCCCGATGTTTACTCTTTTCTAAAACAGCTTAGTTAAGATATAATTCACATCCCATACAATTCATACACTTGAAGTGTTCAATTCAGTATTTTTTAGGATATTTACAGGGTTGTACCACTATCATCATAGTCCAATTTTACATTTTTCTCCCCTCAAAAGAACCCCTTAGCAGTGTCTTCCCTGTTCATATTTGTACACTTTTAAGCACCGATCATAACTAAGGAAGCTGTTGTAATTCTAGCTATGAAAACTTTTCCCTTTTAGAAGAGGAACTATTTTTACAAATTCAGACTCTGTGTTGTGGTGATGCTGACAGAGTGGCTGGAGCAGGAGTTGAGGGTGAGGTCGAGGAAGGACTGTACAGGCAGATCAGCCTCTGCCATGTTACGTGAGGTGGCGGCGCATAGCGGGCTCAGTTACCAGTTCAGGCTGCCTGTGTGTAATGAGCAGAAAAATTAGATTTCCAAATTAAAAAAATATTATTCTCCTCACTAACCCTTTTGTTAATTTGAAAATGACTTGACAACGACAACAGAAATCATTTATTCTTTATTGGGAAGCTTGGTTAATGCGGTTATCCCTGAAGCTTTTTTCCTTGTTGGCCACAGCTTTATGAATCTATTCTGGTTAAGGTATCTGTGAGACCTAGCCCAAACTTGTTAGGTGTGTAGATTCTCTTTACTGTCCAGAAAGCTTTCTTAATAGTCCTATTAAAATTGAGAAGTGCCTCTGATAGATTTATGTATAAAGCCAACGAAACCATGTCTCTTGATTATTTGGTGAATCTGTATTTTTAATAACTACTTAAAAATTTGTTTCAGGGGCACCTGGGTGGCTCAGTCAGTTAAGCATCTGACTTCGGCTCAGGTCATGATCTCACCGTTCATGGGTTCGAGCCCCAAATCACACCCTTCACTATAGCGTAGCCTGCTTCGGATCCTGTCTGCCTCTCTCTCTGCCCCTCCTTCGCTCGTGCACTCTTTCTCTCAAAAATAAATAAACGTTAAAAACAATTAAAATTTGCTCGATGCAGCCCAATGAGTTTGAGGACTGACGTTAATTATTTACTTTAGTGCCGTTTCCCCCAAAACTGTGTCCGATGGAGATAACATAGGTGGGCTACAGTCAAGATAGATGCCATTTTCGAATAAGTTAGGGAAACACTGTCAGATGGGTACATCTCCACCTCGAAGCATAATGCACATTATCATACAAAATGCTGTGAGAAGTTGTTCATCAGAAACAAACAACAAAATCATTGTCTAATTCTGTTTAAGCCAGTATTTTCCAAATTTATTTAAGCATGGAATACTCTTTAAAGCATACTTGTTAACCTACTCTGAATTGCTTAAGGAATACCAGTTTGGAAAACACTGCTTTTCTAGTGGCGAAAAGCCTCCATAGGTTTTCAGTGTGGTTTATTGGAGCAACACGCATTCTACTTTATTATGTAGAAGGATTCTGTCCTTTTTTAGTATTTTTAAAATACCATTTACATTACAAAAGTAGCCTCGTGTTGAAGACCTACTAAGAGTCTTTCTGAGCTTTGATAATCTGTTCAGGTCTCCACTCTGACACTTTCCAGATGTGGGGTTTGGGGCAAGTTATTTGATTTCTATCAGGTTTAGCTTCCTCATCTGTATACAGGGCATTATTTTAGTATTTCCTGCAGGTAGAAACATGTACTTCTCTCTCTCGCTGTTGAGGAACTCCTTTCATCTGTAGTCCCACTAATTAGTTTTAATTTACTTTTTCCTTCTCTTCTGTATTCTCTTCTTTCTCTCTTACTGTGTGTGTGTGTG